CTGTATTCACAGCGCTCCAGGGGACCCAAGATCTCTGCTCCAGGCAGCCCCGGGCCCTGCCGCCCTCCGAGCCGGGCGCCCCTCCGCCCCGGGCCCTGCCGCCCTCCGAGCCGGGCGCCCCTCCGCCCCGGGAGTTGCTATCCCCAGAACACTGCTCCTGCACATTAATGAGAGGGACTCACGTTTCACACACGGCTCTGGCATCACACGGTAGCATCTGGAGACCAAAGGAGCAGGGTGAAAGACGAGCTCTCTACTCCGGACCTGGGAGACAGAGACATCGGATCCAGACCAAACTGGGAGCTGGACAGAATGAGACCAGCGCTGTCTGAGAAAGGAAGATGCTACCAAGGCTGATGCATTGAAGCCCTGCACGCCTCTCTCCTTCGGAACTGGGCACCGCTGAACGGAGGAGGCGGCGGATCCTATTTGCTCCTCATCGCACCAACACAAGGGCATTTAATACAACTGAAAAAAGAAAGAAGGAACGAGTAGCTCTTTGCCCAGCATACCATTAGCCCGTGGGACACCCCGCCAAGCCAGTACTGAGGCCAGGGCCTTCGCAGGATCAGCCCTTCAGAGACACAATGCTCTTGTATACGGACCATCAACCCTCCTGCTTCAAAGGGGGAGCCGTTCACTAGCACGTGGCACTAGGACAAGCTTCCCCTGGGCAGGTTATTCTGCACTTGGTCACTTGTGTGAAGCTTTGGCAGCTGGATTCAGGGCCTGTTCCCCAGCGCTACCTGGCGGCTCCTATCTACACAGTGCAGGGAACTCAGCCGTGCACGCAGGAGCCTGGAGCTGAGCTCTCAAACCCTCTGCTCCCTCTACCTGAAAATGTTTCTCACCAAGAAGCAGAAACTCGGGAGGCCCCAGCTAGCGTGTGGTCCAAGAAAGGACGGGCGCATCTCTGCTGTCTCCTCAGCCTGTTCACTGCCTGGCTCCCACTGAGCTTGTGTTCCTCTCGCTTTACTGGGAGACTGGTGGATGGCTGCTGGGCCAAGAAACACGTCCCCGCGGCTGTTCCGAACGAAGGCCTTTGCACGCCCGGGAGCAGCGAGGTCCCTTCCCGACAAAGGAGAATCCAAGTTGCTGACGATTCTGCCAAAAGATGCAGGCAGGTGAGCCAGACGATCAGTGACACCTAGGACTCCATAGCCCCTCTCGGGGGATCACAGCTTCCAGCCTCTCCCTGAGGACTCCCGCCCTCTGCCGTCCCTTCCCTTCGCTTCGCTCTCAGTCCAGTAGTGGGATACCTTTCCTCCCGGGGCCCATCTGTTCTTGCCTCAGCTGACTAGCTGGGCTACTAACCGCCAGGACATCACCTCCTCTTAAGACAGAGCTCAGCCCTCTCAGCACTGATGGCCCAGGACTCCCGCACACCAGCTGCTGGGAGGCCACCACCTTCAGCACTGGTCTGTGGGCTCATGCCTGGAGCATTAGACGGGGAGGGCTGGGCACCTGGGCTCTACCAAACTCACTGTTTGACTTGAGGTGAGTCACAGCTCCGCTGCCTCAGTTTCCCGTCTGTAAACTGGGGGTGATAATTGCCTCTTCCCAGGGTGTGTGATGTGCCACGCGGGGTGCACAGCAGGTGCCAGCTGGAGACAGTGTGTGTCAATCACCCTTATGCAGCCGTGCTGGGGAGCGTGGCTCCGAGCTGCCCAAAGCAGCTCACCACGGAAGGTTCCTTTCCCGTGGGGCTGGGTGCGTCCCTTCCTCATGCCGTGGAGGGAAGCTGCGTGGCTCCTCCCAAGGCTTGAGAGCGCAGGCAAGCGCGGGGCGCGTCTGAGTTACAGACCAATCTGCCAGCTGGCGGGTGGCATCTGCCTGGCCCCCCCCGCCACTTAGAATCACCAGCTTTTCTTTAAGCAGCTGGAAGCAGGCTGCAGCGCACGCTGGTGTCCCCAGGCCCAGCCGGAGCCTCCCAGAGCCCTGCCTTGCTCCCCGCCTCCCTCCCAGCCACCCTGCAGGAGCAGGAGGCGGGGCAGGGCAGCAGAGACACTCTCTTGGCATAGCCACACTCCCAGAGATGGGGGAGCAGCTTTGCCCTTGTCCCCGAGGCGTGGGGAGCCAGCAGCAGTCAGCACCTCCCATCTCGGGGGGCTCGGACTCCTGGGCCCCATCTCTGCCCCCAAGCCAGCGAGACCGACTCACCCAGCCCCCCTGCAGCCAGGCTTGGGCTTGCTTCCCAGGCAAAAGGTCTCCCCAGGCTCAGGTTACGGAAAGCAGCAGCCACTGTGTGTGCAGGGGAGACACTCCCGCCCAAATTCCCACGCCGCTACCTAGCTACTGGTGCTGTGCCTGGGGAAACTGAGGCACGGCTGGGGTTACTACAGAACAGCAGACTCACATGCGCAAAGCCCCCAGAGTGGAGTCACAGCCCTGCCCCGCACCCATGGGCCTGGCCACAGCCCCAGGCACCCCGCCCAGCCTCGCTCCCGGAGAGTCCGTGCAGCATGTGGCAGGTGGGCGCTCAGGCTACCTAGCTACTGGTGCTGTGCCTGGGGAAACTGAGGCACGGCTGGGGTTACTACAGAACAGCAGACTCACATGCGCAAAGCCCCCAGAGTGGAGTCACAGCCCTGCCCCGCACCCATGGGCCTGGCCACAGCCCCAGGCACCCCGCCCAGCCTCGCTCCCGGAGAGTCCGTGCAGCATGTGGCAGGTGGGCGCTCAGCTGCCCACGCCCAAGAGCTGCAGCGGGCTCCCCGGCAGCTCTCCCCGGGGAAGGCAGTCACTGGAGCCAGCAGCCTCCCACTCCCATGCTACACCCAACCAGCAGGCCAGCTTCTCCTGCAGAGGGAGTCTTATGGCCAGCCCCAGGCTCTGCCCTGTGCAGGGCACAGAGGGCTGGCGCGTGACTGGCACTCAGCCGAGCGGAAGCAGTGTCTCCGTGCTCACGGAGCAGAAGGTGTTTTCCAAAAGGGGGTGAAACAGAGAACAGACGAGAGGAGGCTGCACACGCCTTCCCCGCTCTGCGCTTCCATCCCACAGCCCCCGCTGCGGCCCTGCTCTTCTCTCCTCTATCTACTGCAGCCTGAGCCAGCGGCCACGGAGCTGGTATTTCCCAGGGCAGCGTGCCGTGCCCAGCCAGGCCCCTGCCCGAGGCGAGGGGCCAGGCTGCTGGCGGGGGGCGGCGTGCTGGACGCGTCATTGCTCTCTTGCCCTGCGGAGTGGGGAGCCAGCCCCGGTACAGACGGGAATCGGTGCTAACTCGCTGCTGAGGATCACACGCGACAGACAACCCTGCCTCTCTCTGCATATTTCAAAGCAGTGTGATGGCAACCAACGGAAAACAAAGGAGTGAGTCAGAGCAGCCCTCCCTGGCCAGTGTGCCAGGGAATCCAGGGTGGCCCTCACTTACCCTGCCCCCACTCCAGAAACAGGCCTCAGGGCAGGGGCTGTGGCAGCACCATGGCAGCATCGTGCAGAATTACGGCGGGGGCCCAGCACATGAGCTTCCGCCCAGGGGGGTCTGCGCTCATGGGCTTTGGCTGGGTGTGCGGAGGCGGCTCCGTATTATTTCGGCTGCAATCAGAGACCGGGGCCCTGCGATCTCGCAGGGAAAGCTGCAGCTCCACTTGGGCTGGGCCTGCTGCTTAGCACAGTGGTTGAAATGGCGCCGCGGCGTGTCCAGCCGTCTCGAGGTGGCGCGTGGAAGCAGCACAGGCCAGGGCCAGCTCCCTGTGCCGGGCGTGCACAGCGTGCTCTCCAGGCGCCCGGCACTCGCACAGCGCAGCACCTCTATTGCCCGGGGAACACGTTCAGGGCGTTTGCCTGGGGGCAAAGAGGCATTTTCCTTGGCGCTCGGCGTGCAGCCGCCTCGGCCCGACGTCTCAGCCACTCGGAGGGGCAGCGTGGGCTGCTGAGCGAGGGGCGATTCTGGGTCCCTTTGCTAGTCCAGAACGCTCAGGGATTCGTTCGGGCTGAAGGTCAGAGAACGGGAGGGGCCAGCTCCATGCAGAGGGACCTGGGGCTGTCCAGGAGCCCCACAGGATGGAGCAGCCCCCCATGTCAGTCAGCTGTCGGATTCAGAGGGACGGAGTCTGTGGGGAGGCATTGGGCCCTGCCCAAATGAACGAGAAAGCTATTGTTCCAAAGAGAGCTATTGATTTTTGCATTATTACACTAAGAAATTTATAGTCCTATGGTTTAAAACCGCAATAAGAGAAAATGTGCAAGCTCAAAAATTTCCCAATGACCTTGCGTTTGACCTTGTGGAGGGGGAGTAGTTAAATGCCTCCTCCACCCCATATGTGGGGCAAGTTCAACCCCAAGGGGGCCCTGGGACTTCTGCCAAGAACACGGCCCAGGCCTGCTGCTGTCCACGTGAGGGGTTGCAGAGGAAATGGGGTGTGTACAGGCGAACGCAGGCAGTGGGGTATCTGCCCCGTCCAGCCCGAGCTCCCCCACTCTCATGACCCAAGACACTGCCTGCTGCTCGGCCGGAAGCACCGCACACGTGTGCTCAGAGCGCGGGAACCTCTTCTCCTTGCTTTCCCGCAAGCCTGGACTAACAGCAGCGCCCCTTGCAGGCACAGCGCCTTGCTTACCGCAGGGGGAGGCCGTCCCAGACTGGCCCAGGGCTCTGGCTGCAGCGTTGCAGGGACAGAGGAACTCGCTGGTGGGGAGGGAGGGCCGAGGTCTGTGTGTGCGGAACTGCTCGAAGGATCCCAGGCTCCTAGTCACCCTTGGGTGGGGTCCAGCGAGGGAGGTGTGTTCTCCCCCCACATTTCCTTGGGTTCCAGAGGGAGCCTCTCAAGTGCCACTAGAAAGGACGAGGGCGCAGATGAGGTTCAATGGCTACAACTGTTGTCTGGGCCCCAGCTCTCCTGACGGCTCTCCAGGGTTCTTCCGCCCCACGATTTCTTCCCGCTTTCCGCAGCACCGTTCCTTCTGCACCCCCTGGCGGGCCGCCGCTCTGACACAGCTCCCTGGCAGCGGACAGGGACGGGACCAGCACTTGCAGCTTGGGGCAGGCGGGAAAAGGGTTTCCTCTTGGCCAGAATAACTTGGATGTTCCCCCCGGCCGCCCACCCCACAGCTGCGTGGAGACGGGGGCCTCCCTGCTCCGCGCCTGCCTTTGAGGTCACACTAGCTATTAAATCGCATCTCGCCTCACCAAATGAGGCAAAAACAAAACGATCTCCAATGATTTTTATGTTCCTCAAATGTTCCAGAACTGCCGGCGTGGATATGGGGGATTGGAAGCAGCTGTCACTCTCAGAAACCATCATTCCAAACAGCTGGGGTCTGTCAGTTAGTTACGATGCCGTTTGCAGGGAATGATGAAGGTGGCTGGGTGGCTGGCACTCACCACACAGAGCGCACCCGCTCCCAGAACTGGCTCTGGCATCCAGGCGCTGCAAGCAGATGGCTCATGGAGTGAAGGAGCAGCGGCTGCAGGGGCTGTGTGGTGTGCGTGTAAGCCGCACGCCTGCTGGGCGTGGTGCACTGTCCCAGGGAGTGGCTCTGCGGCCCCCTGCAGAGAGAGGAATCTGCTCTACCACCGTACTGATGCTCCTTCGCCATCCTCCCAGCTCTTGGTGGCTCCGGGGAGGCCAAAGTCCAAGTGGTGGCTACTGGGAAAAGCAGTCTGGGTGCAGGTCTAACCAGCCCCAGCCACTGACCAGCGGACCCATCCAACGCCGACCTGAAAGGCAGAGCCTTCTCGCCAAGACAAAGGCCCTGCAGCACGTGGAGTTGTGCCAGCCTGGGCTTCGCTGCTAACGGCCAGTGTGCAGACGTGACATTCTGCCATGGCTCCCAATGCCCCTGGGCGCTTTGCTTTGCCCTTGTGCCTCTGTCTGTCCGGGGCTGGATGATGAGAGCCTGGGCTGATCGAATCAGGGTCTTGGATGGATCTAGGCAGCTTCATTACAGACGCTGGAGTTGCACCGGCTGTGAACTTGGTCTCAGGAGGGTGCGAGGAGCCTGATAACACTGACCGGCCCCGGACCCTGCTCCAAGTATTATTTCTAGGGTCTGGGGTGCAAAAGTACATACACTGGCATAGAGAAATCTAGGTCACTGCCCTACAGTGCTTGTGAGGAACTGCATGAGCCGGCCCATAACAACCACAGCAGGTGACCCATGGAGGCCCACGTGGCCCCTGCCA